GATATTTTGAGGTGTACAGCTATGACCATGGCATTTTAAAAATAAGCTAATTTTGTATAATATATATTTCAGAAGGTAAACAAAACAAATCCAAGTGTGCAACTCTTTTTTATAAAGTGAATATAGGTAAGCACCCCTCAGGTTAAAAAATAGAACATTACCTGTCCCCAAATCACCATAGTGCCCCTGCCACTCACTACCTATTTTCAAAACTACCACTAACCAGACTCCTAGCACCATGAATCTTTTTGCCTGGTTTGGAATTTTGTATAAGTGTCATTAGTTGGTGTGTGCTCTTTTGTGTCTTGCTTGTTTGATTTAACCCTTTTTGAAAGTAAATGACATCATATGGTTCTTGACTTTTTCCATCTGGCTTATTTTGCTTAGTATGATATTCTCAAGAAGACAAACGAAAACTCATAGACACAGACAAAAGTATGTCAGAGCGAAAGGGAGGTGGGGGGTTATAAAAGGAAAGGGGTCAAATATATGGTGACGGAAGGAAACGACACAATGCAATATGCAGATGATGTATTATTGAATTGTACGTTTGAAACCTATATCATCTTATTAACCAATGCCACCCCAATTCATTTAATAAAATTAATTTTAAAAAGAAAGTAAGGTTAGAAGACTTAAGAAATAAAAATTTGAGACACCCAGTTAAATTTGAATTTCTGATAATTTTTTAGTATAGGTGTGCCGCATGCAATATTTAATGGTGTGTATTTAATTATATCATATATTTAACAATATTTATACAGTTAAACAATAGTTAGCTGTATTTTATCTGACATCCCTGTTTTTAAGAGTCATCCAGACTTTTGCACATAGCAGTAGTTTATTCCTTTATAGTGTTACTTGATATTCCATTGTAAAATATACACAATTTGTGTTTCTGTTGTGCTCTTGATAGACCTTAGTAGTGCTGTGAACTTTTAGTTCTTAGGAATAGTGCTCGTGAGAACACTTGTGCATGTCCTGTGATGACATAAATTTCTATTGAATGTATTTCCAGGAGAATTGCTAGTTCAAAGGGGACCTAGAGTTCAGCTTTAGTAGGTACTGGCAAAGAAATTTTCAGATGTTTGCACCAATTTATACTCCCATCAATGGTGTAGAAGAGAGTTCCATGTGCTACCTCCCCTGCCCAATATTTGGTGTTGTCTGTTCTTTTTGTTATCTAGACATTCTTTTGAATATGTTGTGGTAGCCTATATTGTTTTAATTTGTGTTTCCCAGATGGCAAATTTCTTTAATGGCAGCTTTTATACTCCCATTATAAAAATTATCACAATCATGCTGTACCAGCTGATTTGCCTCCCCCCCAACTAAACTACTTAATTTTAATCAAAGCATTGATGACAGAATGTAGAGTCTTACAAAAGATGTGGTAAATAAAATAATTAATGAATGGACCTATTATAAATATGGCATCACTGAAGTTTATTTTATAGTTAGTTGTCATTTTCCTTTAATCTAATTAACACATCAACAAGTACTGGAGGTGCCGAAAAAAGTATATATATATTAAGAGATGTTATCTATGCTCAAGCAGTAGTTCGCTGTAATCAGAAGTGTCTGAACGCTGATGGTAATCACTTTCAGCACCTCTTGTAATTGCAGAAGTCAAATGTGACTTGTATTCATCTTTTGTTATCAGCATATATTGAGTATTACAATTTTAATACAGTTTTCCTTTCTTAAAATATGCATACATTTTTTAGCACCCTCTGTATATTTAATATCTACTGTGTTCGGATATTATTTTAATTATACTACCTTAGAACTTTAAACTATCAAAGCAAAATTACACATAGGTGAACTCTCTCTGTCATAACTATTTCAAGGACTAGATCTCTAAAATACTAAGAAGAAAAGACACTATTAAAATACGTGAATACACATACATGTGTCTCCATCAAATAATGTGTAATTAATTCTTAAAAATTAATTAATACTTAGAAACTAATCAATACTTAGAAAACTTAACACAAGACGTGATATAAGCCATAAATAATAAAGAGTGTACAAAAGTTCCAGACATTAAGAAAATATTGACAGGTATGCTCAAAGAGGCATTACAGGGAATGTTTCTAGCATTAAAAAATACAAAATAATGGAAAGAATCTAAATGCTCAGTAACTTTTAATTGATTAAGTATATAATGACAAATTCACGTAACAAAATACTATGTAACAGTTAAAATAGTATTATAAGAGGATATTGAAGGCTATGGTAATAACCATGGTATATTTCCCAATGAAAATGAAATGACCTAGAAAGGGTATAATGGTACTTTTAGAAAAGACATATTTTGGAAAAACACATGGGAAGAAAAAACCGGAAGAGACACAAATTATAAGAGATGTTTTCTCTAAGCAATGTGATTATATGATTTTGATTTTCTTATTTATTTTTCTGTTTTCCATCTTTTTATGAATGAGAAATTTGAACAATGTACGTTATATTTTAAAGGATTTGTGCAATTTACTAATGGCAAGAGCCTGTGTAGCTCTGAGGTATAGTTAATCATTAAGATGTTTTCAGGGTGGGCAGCAGTGCCCTTCCCTCCATCTGTCAAGGCCTATTGTGTGGGATTTCTCTTGACATCAGAATTCTGGTCTGAATCAATCAGTGGTCTCATGCAATAGTAAAATATTCTGTTCTTTTTATCTACTTATTAGAATATAAACATGCAGTAATAAAAAGTATGATAAAAGTTCCATGTTTCACTCAACTTGATCCAAGTTCTTAAGTGCTTATCCAAATTATAGAACTTCCTTTGAAGTGACTGAGTTCTCACGTTAATGTTACACAATAAGCAACAAAGGAAAAATTGACCATTGATGAAAAAAATGCAAATTACCTTCATGTCTAACAAACTAAGAAAAAAGCCTGTAAAGTATCTCTTACCTGTTAATTACATCGAATAAATTACTAAAATTTATAAACACTATTTCAAAGGCACTTATTGGATGATCTAATCTAACTCAGTCTAACTACAAATGTTGGCTATATTACATCATTTTCCATGCTTTTCTGGTGATCTCAGACAGCCATCATTATTCAAACAATCTGTCAAAGAAATTTTACACATTACTTAGGGAGAAAATATTGTTTCAGAATAGTTTCAGCCTTAATTACAAAACATATTTTTCTGTTCACTAGGGGAATAATTGTTAAGGCAACATTGGTAATGGAAAGGACGTGGGATTTTGAGATATATAAATCAAAATTTGAGTCCTAGCTTTGCGGTCTTGGGCAGTTCAGTTATCTCTGAACTTGGGTTTCTTCCTTCTGTACTTCAGAATCATAGTACCTCCCTTCCAGGATGTTGTGAACATTAGAGAGAATATATGAACAGGACCTATGAGTGCCTATCACACAATGGATTCCTTCCCTTTGCCCTCACTTCTCCTGCTGCACCTTCTCTCCTCGCCATAGAGCTTAGGAACTGGAAGTAGAGATGAACAGCTCAAGTCATAAATTTGTGTCTCTATTTAGCAAGTATGTGTTGGGCTTTTTATATGCTCCAGGCATTGTGCTGGGTGCTGGGTATACAATATAGTGAACAAGACATAGTCAAGAAGCTTCTAGTTTCTTTACTTTCGGAAGTCTACACAGATAGTAAGCCATAATGGAGCAGTAAGCAATATGGAATGTGCGTGCTAAGAAAACTGTAAACATTACATTGAGAGCCGAGATTTCTTATGGCTTTTTGAGGTGATACAGATTTATAGGGGTTACTAGTTTCCTGAATTTAGAATTTGAAAGCAAATGGGACTTATTAAAGAGACATGATTAAATGCGTACTTTAGAAAGCTCACCTAGGTAAGGAAGTAGCAAATGAACTAAAAAGTGAAAAGGCTCGAGGCTGGGAAAGAGTTAGGAGGGTGTTTGCAATAGTTCAGTCAATAAATAATTAGGCTGAGAAACAGGGAGTGTTAGTCATGGGATGAGGATGAAAGGGCAGATAGAGAAATGTTTAGGAATCATCCATGTTTAGGACCCAGTGATTGATGGTGTGTGTAGGTAAAGTGAAGGAAAGGTTTACTGGCTTCAGTGATTATGAAGATGGTGCTCTTCAACTGAGAGGCTTAATGGGGATCAGCAGAAATCGATAACCCTGAAACCAAGAGCTGCAGCCAGGGGCCAGCCATGGAGAAAGCAGAATTAAATTTCAGAAAGTCTGATCAAGTTAGAATGTCCAAGCCATATTGCCTGTGTTAGAGGATGCAGCTGCCTTTGGAGATTCCCGTGTTGGGGTGCACACCCTTCCTTCTCTTAAACTCTGGCTCTCACAGAATCGGTGTGGATCACGTGTCCTAACAAATTTAGAGTATGAAGAATACAGCAATCATACAATCTAATCATACCAATGTTTCAAGTTGTTCTAAAGGTATTAAATTTGAATCTAGTGTCACTGAAGTAGTAACTAATCTAAAAATACTTCAGCATCAAAATTTATGATGTGAATCTGGCAGTATGCATAAAGTTTTCTATTTCCAGCAGTTCTACTTATACCTATAGCCACTTTGCTTATTGAAGCCATCACATTAACAAAAATGTCAATTGTGTCTGGAGATGACAACCTCACACACAGAGGAAAGTCATGAAATTTCTTTCTAAAGCCTATTCTTGTGAGAGGTTTTCATTGAAAATGGGGCAGTAAGATACATATCCCTAAATCAGTTTTTTTTTAAATCATGAAATAATTCTAAGTGTGTGCAAAAAGAAATCTCAAGATATCTGTCATGAATCTCTAATCACTAATGAATCATTAATATACCATAAACATAAATAAGATATAGTCAATCGGTTACTATGTTGGTCTGCCTTTAATATACAGAATAATTTTAAAGAATGCATAGTATAGAGATTGTTTACTATTATTTTTTTGAAAACTTGGTCAGTAATGCAAGCCTTCATTAATGTTTCCTATGGGGAAATGAGATTCAATGAACAACTGACATCATATTTTTTTTCTTACTGAACAGTGGCTTTTTAGGAGTTAATTCTGCTGTTTGAGAATTACGTGTGCCTTCATAGGATGAAAAGGTATGGAATTTGCTCATTTTGCTAATATCTACCTACAAGCTCATATTCTTTGCCTCAGGCGAGTTTAGAAACATGTGTTTCAGAGCACTTCTGGAAATAAAAAGAAACAAAACCCGTTCTGTCATTGGTATCCAGCTTCCCAGACATTTTTGTCTGTAGAGATGGTTAGTAACTATAGAATGAGAAGCTGGGAAATTATGGCGACTTCAGTTTCCACAGTCATCAGCCAAGTGTGCTATGCAATTACAACAAAATTCTAAAAATCAAAATTTCCTTCTAGGGGATGTCCTTAAAATTTACTCTCATTCTTCTTGTCTGGATGAAGCAAACTTTTAGAAAGAGAATACTGTATTAGAAAATTTCAGATTGTATTTGAATAATGATTAGACATTTTTTCATTGTGTAGTATTTTAATATCTGTTATTTCTACAGGAGATGGTATTTGTGTGGTTTTCAATACAGTAAGTTCCCGACTTACGAACGGGTTCATTCCGGGAGAATGTTTCATACCTAAGTCGGATACGTTCATAAGTCCAACAAAGTGAGACTTATATACCTTTGACGTAAATATACAACATAAAGCATAAAAAACTAAACACACACAAAAATAATGTAAATAAACTATTTTTACTTTTACAGTTACCCTAAAAAGTGGTACAGTACAGTACAACAATGGGCATATAGGGGATTGCATGGAGTGAACTGATAACGTGAGCTACTTCCATGATTTGTTTGCAACTATGAATGTTCATAACGCAAGTTCCATTCATATCTGTGAAAGTTCGCAACTCAAATGATCATAAGTCGGGGACTTACTGTATTGGCATATTTAGTGCTCTCTTATTTTATTTTATTTTAAAAAATTTTTATAAGAGTTTATTTGAGCCAAACTGATGACATATGGTGGGGTGCAAGATTTCAAGATTTTCAAGATAACAGTTTTGCAGTTTCTTTTATGCTTTTAAAATTAAGAAGGGAATGGATATGGAGGTGGGAGAAAGCAAGGCAGGGATTGGATTACATGATAGTTAACAAGATCATGTGCTCTCTAGAGGATTAATACCTGCTTCAAGGGTTATTACTTTTGGTATTTCAAAGGCTTTAGCCTAGACGCAGAAGACAGTGGACAGGGCTGCTTTAAAACCTTTCACAATAGAAGTTATAGGTTTGGGGCGTGTCTGCTCACCATGACCTGCCAAGCTGGGACTGGATGATCAGATCACCCTGTGAGGTGACTTTCCACAGAACCCCTTTTTTCATCCACAGCCTCCCCTTTTGGCATACATCAATCCAACCTTTTGGTCAGATAATGTGGTCTCACAGAGCTAGGAAGTTTCATTCCTAGGAAGTTTTAGTGCTTTCTTAAATCAGCCAGAAAGTTAAACACAAAAATAGTAAGATATATATATGGGCTGTTCTTAAATATTATATTTTAAATTCTATACTTATGTGAACAATTGAGATAAGTGTGATGATGCTTTGAGGTAAATAAGAAACAGTACACCATTTTCTCAGAAAGACTAGATTACCTTATCTGCCACCTACTTCCTCAATTCTTCCCCCTTTCATGACAGCCAATAACAAAGGTCCACAATTTATGATTCTTAGAAATCCTACCTGATGAATGATTATCTGCTGACCATGAAATTTCCAAGGCTAAAGTTATATGCAAAAAGCAATCCTTGGACTTTAGGAGTAAGCGTTAAAACAGAAAGTTGAATCACTTTCAATGAATGATTGTTTTTGTTTGATTCACTCAACAGACTCAAATTAACTAGCCAGAGCCACCCTATTCTAAGTGGCAGTGGATCTCAAATGGTTTCTCTGCCAGCGTAGGGGCACCACAGCACTTCAGAGCATGGCCCCTGGATTCCTCTGGCCTTAGTTCAAATTTTTGCTCCATCATTTCCTAGGTACATAACCTTGGGCAATTCACTTAACTTTTCTGAGTCTTAGTTTTCTCTTGTAAATAGTGGATAATTCAGTACCTACTCAGGTTGCTGGAGGTATTGAATGGAATGCAGCACATCAAGTGTTTAGCATAGTGCCTTGTATATAATAATTATTCATTATGGGTATAATAATAATGTCATTATAATTATTACCATATATAACTTTATTATTATTATTATTATTATTACAATTTGCTATTATATTACTTGTCCACTTAGGAAAAAAATAAAAAAACAAAGTCTACCCCGTTTATCATGAGCACTTCCCCTGCTGCAAAGCTCAGTAGAATTCATCACAGTGAGGCTAGGATCAGATAAGAGGTCAGTGAACGTCCGCCTGTAGATAGTCAATGGGTGCCTCTGAGCTCCCTCGAGTAGGCTGAGCACAGCATTACTTTACAAAGCAGCTCTGGGGAACTGCAAATTTGTGACCCAAAAAAATGCATAACATTGTCCATACAGACAAACATTTAAATGTTGCCTTATCAAAATGTTGCCACTATTAGCCTTCTACTATATTTTGAAAAACGGCGCTTTTAACTTTCTAGAAAATGCGAGAATTGCCAGATTCAGCATCTCTCAGTGGCGTAGAGGAGCCCTAAGACTATTTCCGGTGAGGTGACCCCTTCTAACATAGGGATGTCAGAGGCAATAGACAGATGGGAAATACTAAAAATTCAAAGGAGCATTGTCAATGGAAATTATACAACTTGAACAAAAGTACCATGACATTAATGATTTAACATTAGGTCTTCCTCCCTACCCTACCTCACATTCCCCAATCCCAATATAGGTTTGTTCATGGCTTTTGTACTGTTGCAGTAATTGGAGCAACCCAACCCCAGCCCTTATCTGCAGGAAGGAAGCTGGGGGTAGCAATAGCTGAGTAAGAAACAGGTTGAACAGAGCTACAGCCAGCTCCTCAGATAAGCCCACACCAAGCCACATAGGCAGGATTGGCTACATAATATGTGGGGCCTGGTACAAAATGAAAATGTGATGTTGTTTGTTCAAATATGGTTAAGAATTTAAAGGTGCTGACAGCCAAGCATTAACCCAAGCACCAGCCCCTTTGAAATGCAGAACCCTGTGCGACTGCTCAGGCTGCATTCCCATGGGGCCAGCCCTGCACAGATCTTTCCTTTCCCTCTGAACACTAGTCGTATCCCTACAGGAACCGCCTCTGGTGGCCCAACCTTTAGCATGTCCATGGGAATTTACCTTAATTCAAAACCAAGTAAATGTTCAGGATTAATACCAGATACATGACCCAGCTAATGATTTAGGATTAAATGATACTTTTCTAAAGTCTCAGAGACCCTTTTGTCAACTGTCATCCCTTCATTGTCTGAAAACTAGATATAATTTATAACATATGTAGAAGTACAGGAAAGAATAACGTAAGAGTTACTTAATCCTCAACATGCAGTGGAAAAATATAAATGGAAATATCTTCTGTAAAGAGGCCAAAAGTTCAACATAGAAACTGAGCTTCATATATAATATTCTAATTTGGTTCAATTATTTAAAGACACTTAGAATAGTTGAAGATTTTTTTTTAAGGCTACATACAGTGCAGTGAGTTATGCAAGTAAAACTGGCAAACCTCTTGACATTCCTGATATTTTTGATTCACATGCCACTTTGACAACCTGATGAAAGCAAAAAAGTTACCTGAGATAAATACATATTCATAAACACACACACGCACATACACACACACACACATACACACACACTGCTCAAACATCCTGAGGTCCAAAAAAAATTTAAGGTTGGAAAAAAATTGCTCTGAAACAAGACTTTGTTATATGTTAAAATAAGTTTACTTATTCTGAAAGTTTCAAAGGGACCTATTTTTCAAATAGTAGTAAAGATATAGATGGTATTTATTATTTTACTACATGACTGGTTGAAATTAAAGAACTAAGCTGGAGTCAGATCATGAAGAATCATGCTAAATCTCTCTTTAAAAGATATATTTTTATGCAGAAGTATTTTAAAGAAATACAGATATCACAATACATCTCTAATTACTCCAGTATTCAGTTCTTAAAAAAAACTAATTTTCCTATCTAGCTGACTGACCATTTTTACACCTAGCAAAATTAATAATACTTTATTAAATTTAATTTGTACCCAGCCGTAATCAAATATCTCCATTTTTTTCCTGCCTTGTTCAAAACTAGGATCCAATCTAGGACTATGCATTGCATCTGTTATGCTCCTTAAGCCTCAGTTAGCCTAGAAAAATCTAGATTGTTTTCATGTCTCTCATTGAAGATCAAACCTCTGGATTTATCTCAAGGTTTTTTCTTAGTGTGTTTTAAATCTAACCCTGAAATTTCTTATGTATTGGAAGTTCAATTCAAAGGTTGATGATATTTAAATGAGCCATTTTGAGTAGAATGAATTGTGCCTGATGTTGTGTTGAATTATATCATAGTAGGAGATAGCCTAGCTCCTAAGATTTGGTTTAATATCTAATTCAAATTATAACACTTGCATTTTTCTGTCCTTCCCCTTATTTTTAGTTTAATTGTGCATGGAAGAATTTTTAGAAAATTAATTTAAAATCAACTACAAAATTATTTATTTTTGTATTCACTATGTCAAAACGTTGCTAATGGGGCCCCTTTCAAGCTGTTGTCTTCTTTTAAGGTGACTCCATTAAATTTTGAAAACTATCTTTTTTTCAAACATTTATCTTAATGTTTTCCAATTTTATTGAGATATAATTGACAAATTACATTGTGTAACTCTAAGGTCTACAACATGATGATTTGATATTCATATGTATTTTGAAATGATTGCTGCAGTTAATTAACACATTCATCATCTCACAGTCACTTTTTGTGTGTGTAAGTGTGTATGTGTGGTGAGAATACTTAAGACCTACTCTACTAGCAAATTTCGAGTACACAGTACAGTACTGTTAACCATAATCACCATGTTATATATTAGATCCCCAGAACTTATTTGTCTTAAAACTGAAAATTTGTAACCTTTGACTAACATCTTCCCATTTCCCCCACGCCCAATGCCTAG